AATCCCCCCCCGGCTTTCCTCCGCGCGCTGAGGGTCCCTGAGCCACTTTTAGGCGACGCTCGGCGCAGCCCGGGCCCACGCGCGGCACCTCGGGGGCCTCCGGCTGCTCCTACCTTGCTGCATGATCTCCACGATCTGCACGACTTTATCCATGTGCTTCCGGGCGGCGATGAGACCCTGCAGCATCAGCATCTTGTAGTAGTTGAACATGTCCCCGTCCAGCCCGCCCATCACCTGGAAGACAGAGGCTGCGTGGGTGGGGGCAGCGGACGGAGAAACTGCAGGACAACGTGCCCTGAGCAGAGGGATTGTCAACAGGAGGAGCACGACGGGATTTTTAAGGAATTTCACTTCTTGAAGTGAACCCTCCACCACGAACTGCCACGGTGCCAACCCTGCTGCCAAGGGATCGGCCGTGCCACCTGACGCTGCGGGATCACCCCTCGCCGTCACGTCCCCGCTCACTTACATCCACAAACTCCGTGGTGAGCTTGAAGGCCGACGTCTCAAAGCCAAGATTCCTGGGGGAACTGGAGAGGATGAACCCAAAATCGATGTGGATTATGTGTCCATCCGCGTCCAGCAAGATGTTGCCGTTGTGCCTGTGCGGGAGAGAACCTTCCGTTAAACCTTGCGAGCGCGTCCACCGCCCCGGGAGCAGCTCCCAGGATTTCCCTGCTGTACCCAGGGACGAAATGACAAATCCCAGTAGAAGACACAGCAACGCAGCGCGGGGCCCCACCTGTCCTTGACCTGCAGCAGGTAACACACCAGGCAGTAACCGGCACAGCTCTGCACGAAATTCCTCTGGGCCGTCAGGAAGGATTCGGTGTTGTAACTGCCGTGTTCCTGCAGGAAATAATCCAGCAGCGAAAGCAGGGATTGCTTCTTGATCTGGTGGATGGACACAGCATTCACGACTGGCTCAATCATGCCGCTGTCGGCGGAGATGACGAGGATTTTGTATGGCTTGATCCAGAGCGGGACACGCTCCTGTTCCCAGATGGACTGTGCGAGAGAGCCAGAAAATTCCTCAGGATCCAGAGCAGCCCCCCGGCAGCCGCGGCCCCCCCGGGGCAGCCCCTCTCCCCCCTC